TAATGGCCACCGTGAGAAGACTGGGGAGGAAAAGAATAATGGTATTAAAAAAAAAAAAAGGTATTTATTTAAAGACTAAAAAACCTGCAATTATCTAGAAGTATCTATTTGTAGATTGTCATTAACATTTCTAAATGCGCCTTTGTTGTCATTTTTAAGGTGAGGATGAACTTCCTCTTCAAGGAAATCCCCCTGCATGACTTCCTTGCAGACCATGAAATATTTTCGATTATTGCCTTAGCCTTTCCCTGGCACTTGTCTGTATTTGGCAATTCCTATGGTAAAGGAAGCTGAAGCAACATTTATTGCTATGTGATGCCTCCAGAATGTTTGTCTGACCTTTTGCTGTGTTGTCTGAGCAGCTCTGGCACCCACTACGGCTACGTGAGTGCCGAGAAGTCTAAATCCCAAATGTTTGACAAAGGACAGTCTCTGCCTTGGTTTATGATGATGTTAGGAGAAAACAGGTTGAAATTGTGTCAAGAACTGCTGGGGGGCTGGAGAAAGCAAAAGAACAATATGAACAAGCTGGGTGCCAGCGCAGGGCATGTACAAGGTGCCCAGCCTGTAATCACAGTAGATTCCAAGAGTTAAAGAAAAATATACACATTTATAAAATGGAATAAATAGGATGGAAATCAGCCGTACTTGCCATTATTTCCAGACAGCCCCAAAAGCCATAATGGTATGCAACTTCCCCTTTGGGGCAAAGCCAGGATTTTCTCCCCTAGTGGAGCTGTGACAAAATGGCTGGCATAATGAGAAGAAAAGAACAGACTTCAATTTCCCTACTTTGTGGGCAGTGGAGGAGTGAGTGTAAAGATAAAGGAAAATCCTGGGAAAAAATAGAAAATGAATGCAGCCACCACATTTATAGGCTCTGTAAGGAGCAATATATAAAGATTTTGGGTTTAGATATGCTTTAAGCCCGTGACACACTACACGCAAAGCCGTGAAGAGTGAAGCAAAGCTGTCCGGCACGGAGCTTTGCGTGCAGTGTGTAAGCTGAGTGCAGGCAGATGATTGACTGCACCTTCAGCCAATCGGCTCCTGTGTAACACCCGGCCAGACGTGGCATCCTGACGCACGGGTTTATACGCGCGAGCTGATTGGCTGAAGATGAGATTTTTCATCTTGGTACGATGAGTTATGCGAGCTCTCGCGAGCTGGCGTGCTGGGGAGAAAATTACATGACACACTGCTCGCGAAGGCAGCGCGCCACCGCTTCGCGTGCAGTGTGTCACAGCCTTTGAGGGTTTATTCGTGCACTGCTCTTACCTGGCAACCCCCTGCCTCCTGTGAAGCTTCCCCTTGCAGACGAGCCTGAAGGGCAGATAGACATGCATATAAAGCCCAGAGCTCCCATTATGCCAGAGTTGACACCAGCTGATTTTCCTAGGTAAGCTCCACGCTTGGCACTGCCAGGCTGGGGGCTACACGACTGACAGGCATCCCCTCATTGTTTATAGCACAAGAAGGGGCAAAGCTGGAGGAGGTGCAGCAAATGGATGCCAGAGGAGTGAGAGAGTTATACAACCATGCCCACTCCTCCCGGATTTTTTTTCAGCTCGTCTGCTCAGTGTGATCAGTATAGAAATTGGAGCTGGGGTGATCCCCAGATACCTAGACTGAGACAGCTCCAGGGAAACGGGGACGAATGGTAGCCTAACTGTACAGAATTACCAAAACTTTGGCAGATAAAACAGTAAACATACGCATTTTAACTGTGTAATGAGCTGTTTGCCCAGAGGTTTGCCTTAAGTTGAACCCAATTTTGTTCTACTGTATATATTCCAGCAATGGGTAATTAGACCAAACCTGAAATGTTGACAAGCCTTTCTACTGTAAAGCTGCAGTAATGAAGGACCTAGTCCAACATCTCCAATATTCTACTGTATGATCGGTTAGCACGTTCTTTATTGGTGTGAAAAAATGGTGTCATTGCATGAGGCAGCAATTTCATGAAACACTTCTCCTAAAACGAAGAAAAATGAATCGGTGTTGCTAAGGAAAAATGATTGATGAGAAACTGCTGAAGTGTGAAGGATATTTTCCTGGAATGCTAGCCATGGGCAGAAAAAAGAAGCCTTTGTGCTGCTTTAAAGTGTGCGCCAAGGCCAGAGCTGCAATCCACTCACAGTTTTCGGATTAAAGCCCCAAGCTTAAGTCTGGGAGATGTGCCCAATAAGTTAGTGACCACAAACTACCAAGGAACCATCAGGCCAGACCTGAGAAATGTTGCATACATCAACGATTGACTTTACTCTTCCCCGTTTAACCCCACCATTGTATTAACCCCGTGTTTAGATTGATTACATATTCCTTAACGGAATTACATCTAGCTTGCTAAAGAACTGTGTCATAAATGCTTTAAAAAAAAAAAAAATTCCCAGCACGTTCACCAGCCAGCCCGCAAAAAAAGTACACGGTCTATCTACAAAGGTTAAAAACATAGGTTTTAGTTGCACAACTTTTGCAAAACATGTGAAAGCCGCACTGCCTCGTCAAGGCCCCCCTGTATAGTACAGTCTTAACTCTGATCTAAGAGAGCCTCCATCTTGAAACATATAGAGCAAAGGATGAATTGGGTGCAGGTTTGCCAGGAGGTAGCCCAACCTCCTTAAAGGCATAGGGACACACCAGGAGCCCCACACATCACAATGGCAGCTGATGCCCCCAGTGTGTCTCCATACCAAATACAACAAGTGAAACAAATGGCAAATGCACTAATCAATTCATAACTAGCTTTAAAAAAAGGTGCACATTGGAGGGCTTTGCACAGTGCAAGAACAAACATTATCAGCACACTTGCCAGCCTGCAAAAACAAAAAACATCACAATGACAGCTAAAGCCATTTTTTTTGGTCTGCATTCTCCATTGGAAGCCCATGTGGCAGGATGACAACGCAGGAGCACAGTTGGGAGACTGGAACAGAGCATTGTTACCCTATCACATGAAGCTCATTCATGTAGACCAGTGGTTCTCAACCTTTCTAGGGCCGGGACCCCTTGGTAACATTTGCCAAGTTGTGGTGACCCCCAAAGGTAAAATTTAGGGATGACGCGGCTGCTGCAGTGACATCTGGAGGCGTGCCGGGAGAACTGACACTGCTGCGCTAGGAGAGAGCTGAGGAGGACTCTCACCTTGCACAGCGACCCACAGGTTGAGAACCACTGCTATAGGCAAAGACAGGACCGTGCTCTTCAGCTGGAACTAGAAGAATTGGATTTAAAGTGTGTGTTACTATATAACGTATGAGGTACATACTCCGCAGTACTGTCACTGATAGGGATGGGCTCGGGCGTGTTCGCATCTCCATGTGCCGAGCCCGCCAGGAAGCTGACAGCGCGCAGTGTCAATCACAGGCACTGAGACATTGCCCGATCTCTGCAGCTGCGGACCGGGAAAATGGAATGCATAGCTAGAGGTGTGTTTTACATATTTTTTTGCTTGAATACATACATATTGCACCCACCCTCTGCTGCTGTCAATCACTAGAAGGGGACCTGGTGGAGAACTTCAGGTCCCCCTCTGCTGATTGACAGCATCAGAGGGCGGTTGCAATAGCTAGTTTGCTATTGGCTTTTGCAAAGTGAAATAGCCAATAGGAATCTAGCTATGCATTCCTATGGTGGGTTTTTTTTTTTTCTGACCCCTGGCAAATCGTCATTCGACCCCCGAGGGGGTCCCGACCCACAGGTTGAGAACCACTGATGTAGACCTTAACAGGATCAGGGGTATTATTTTGACTAAACATTATTTCTGTTAGCTTCAACAGTTCTTTCGTATCAGCCAATGTAGAACCCAGCATTTGTTGTTCTTCTTAACCCCTTTAGTAAAATGGTGTCAAAGTGATTAGGTTGAGAATCTTCACCCAATAAATTGTGTGAAGATTTCCTTTAATTATCCAATATTGCAGAAATTGAGTAGCGTATGGCCACCTTTCTAAATCAAACCAATTGTCTTGATCAGTGGCGTAACCAGAGTTATGGGCGCCCGGGGCAGACATTTGTTTTCGCCCCCCCCCATTATATAAACATACACTGGAACTGTACCTGCAACCCCTGATATTTCCCTTTTAAAATAGAAAAAGAGATTGAGGACACAGAGTCCTCAATCTCTTTTTCTGTATCCCCTGTTATCAATGAACAGGAATCCGTTATGCATGTTCCTGTTCATTGATAACATAGTATGTTTACTATAACCACAATTATGAATGAACAGGAGGAGATGTAGATCACTCCCATTCATTCATAATTGAGGATATAGTTAACATACCATATCCTCAATTATTTACAAACACTCAGCAATGACTGATCGCTGAGTGTTTGCTCTCGCTCTCCTCTCTGACATGCTGTCACAGGAGGCTGAGTGAGCGGTGTCGGGTGGAGAGCCCAGCCTCTTGTGACAGCGTGGGTTTTCTCCGCCCCCACACCGCTCTGCCGGACTGTGATAGGCGGCTGAGTGGTGTGGGAGGAGAGTCACCGGCCGCTCACGGCGGTCTCCTCGCGCAGTGCTCGGCTGGACAAATAGCAGCGCCCAGTGGGGAGAAAATAAATCACGGCTGCGCCGACAAAACGGCAGTAAAAATTGAACTTTCGGCATTTAGCCAAAAGTGCAATTTTCGGCCGGTGCCCCCCTTCAGCTTTACGCCCGGGGCCAGCGCCCCGGCTGCCCTCCCGGTTGTTACGCCACTGGTCTTGATAGAATCCTATGAGTTGTTAAAGTGTAAATCCACTTTTGAAGAGAAAAAACAAACCTTCTGCTGTCCGTTAATGGAATGGAGTTTAGAAAATGTCTTTGCAGATGCCTACTTGCCATAAATGTCAAAGCAGGTGCATCTAAATGATGGAATTAGCTTTGGTTGTTATATATTCTATGACTTTTCTTTCTCTAACAAAGTACAAAAACAACTTTTAGAGGTTTTGTTCTTTCAAATGTGTCCACTGTAGTGTCTGGGTTACCTGAGTAATAAATAAACTGCTTCAATCTCTTTCAGGGATCTCAAGCTAGACAACGTTTTACTAGATCATGAAGGACACTGCAAGTTGGCCGATTTTGGGATGTGTAAAGAAGGCATTCGTGAAGGATGTACGACATCGACATTTTGTGGGACTCCAGATTATATAGCACCAGAGGTATTGTATCTCCTAAACATTTTGTTCTCAATATCATCTTAAATAAAGCATCATCAATCTGGAAAATAAAGACAGTCTAATAGCTTGGATAAAAATGGTTTTCCGTGCAATGGCCATATTTGGGAAATGATCTCAGCCAGCATCTCCCACCCCTTTGCTTACATTCAGCTGTTGACCAAAGAATCTATCTGGCAGTAGCTGAATGATGCCAGGGATGCATCATTGGTTACTAGGAGGCTGTTGGCGCCACAGCCAACAGTGTCCCAGCAACCAATGACATAGCTGAATGGAAGTGGGCAGAGCCTGATGGGGAAGATGAGAGACTAGTTGTCCATCAGGTCTGCCTCCCTCATAATTGACAATGGACAGTAGTGGCAAAATCTTCGTCGGGCTCCGCCCACTCAAAGCAACACTCGCACCTGTCCAAAATCCACCCTTATGGCCCATTCGCACTACATCCAGATTAATAGCATGTATCCCTATGCTATTTCTGGCCTCTGTTCCCACCAGCGCAGTCAATTCCAGACCAGACCAGGAAAATACTATTTTGTCTGGTCTGGAATGCACTGGAACGCATAAAAGCGCATCAAAAACGTACTGGAACACACCTGTAAGACCATTTTAAGCTAAAATAAATAAAACAATTCCAATCACGGCAAAATCGCGGTAAAAAAGTGGCACAAACGTAATGCACTGTGTTCCAGACTTGGTCCGGAAAATGGTGTGAACCCAGCTTTAGACAGTTGCCACCAGAACAAGTGTCCCCATTGAATGATTTCCCCTCTATTCCAAATTTTGGATTTCCCCTCACTATTTGTCTTGGGGACAGTGGTTACCCCGCCAAGCAGAGAGTGTGAATCTCTACAGTGACTGGTTTTAACCTTTCCCTACTCTATCCAGAACTAATATAATAAAAAGTTTTTACTTTAGATACACTTTTAACAGAGAATGTAACCACCTGTAACAACATCTGCAATATACCCAACGATGGGGCAAAGGAAAAGTTTCAGTTAGGCCCACAAGGCCTTCGGACCCAACCATGGCTGGTCCTCCCCTCCTTTATTGGCAGCCAAGTACCACCTTAAGGGCTTTGCTTGCATGTTTTTGCTTTTAAATTTTTTACCAGTGTCTTTTAATGATGCTTGTGAACATAACTAGTATACTGATGGCGGTGTTCTCTTTGATGTAGATTCTACAGGAAATGCAGTATGGACCCCTGGTGGACTGGTGGGCGATGGGCGTTCTTCTCTATGAGATGCTTTGTGGCCATGCCCCTTTTGAAGCAGAAAATGAAGATGACCTCTTTGAAGCTATTTTGAATGATGAAGTTGCCTATCCAGCGTGGCTGTCCCAGGATGCTGTGGGAATTCTGCAAGCTGTAAGTGTATTACTAAGATCTTCCATTACTCACATGCTCATGAGATGCTGGCATGACCGGAATATTTTGTCCTGATATCCAACACAGTGTAAAATTTCCACTCATTCAGCAGAATTATTTTGGCGTTCTTCAGCACTGTCAGTAATGCACATGTGAGGTTTCTTAAATACATATATTTTTTAATATGCTGAAAGATCAGAGACCATGACTGGAATTGAGAGGCGCAGTCCTTAATGGAGCAGAAAGGAGATGTGTCTTCAATTGGGCTTAAAGTAGATCTAAACACTAAGTGGGTGACATTTAGTTTGTTAAAGGTCTGTATCATAGTCAGTCGCTGTGTTTTTTCCATAAAATACTTCCCTTTTTGCATCCCAGCGCTGCAGATCTCTTTTAGCCTTTTCCAACCACCTTGTGTGTACAGCATTGGCTGCACATCATTGTCTGGACCGATTTCTGCTGCAGCCTTGGAATACCTCAACACTCAGCTCTTCTATGAGTGTCAATGCCTGTGTCCCCACCACGCTGTTTTTTCTCTGACCCTCTACATCAGTGTTTTTCAACCTTTTTAAAAAAATCCATACCAGACCCTTATCAGAGATAGTGGTCTGGTATGGATTTTAAGGTGGGATCCCATGCAAAAATACCAAAAAATGGGTTCTATCATTGACATCAGATTCACCCTTTAAATCACAATATATCCCCACCTTTCATAACAGAATCCCCCTTTACATCTGGACATCTGGAACCTCCTTCACACCAGGAGCCCCCTCCTTTCATATGAGAAACCCCCTCTTCACATCAGGAGCCCCCATTGCACATCAGAACCCCCACATTTCACATCAGAACCCCCCTCCCTTTTTCTCCCAAGACTGTCTCTTGCCAGCCCCTTTCATTCATTAGATTTCAGTTCTTTTACTCATGGTGACTCAACATCACATGTGGGCATTGCCTAGGGCGGCCTGCATGCAAATATAGTCTGACTAGGAACGTCACTCCTCCAGACTGACATCCACCCATCACGGCATTTTGATATTTGCATAAGTCCTCCCAAGAGCCAGCCTACTGCTTGTATCAGGGTGAAGGCTATTGAGAAGATTACTGAGGCAGGGAACTGTGATGTTTTCAAGCAGCGATGTACAGCACTCTGCCAGCCCCTCCCACCAGCCATGACCAGCCTGCATTTCATAGAAAAGCATAAAGACCTAGCTACCTTTCTGGGACTATAGGAAGGTATGTGATGAAAATGGAAACGTTTTTTTTAATTTAAACATTTTATTAGCATGATGCTGAAGGCGGGGGAGACAGAACCAGGGAAGGCAAAATATAAGCAGAATATATGCAGAACAATGTATCAGTGTTAGTGTGTCTTTCTCAGATTCCCCTTTTGTTCTGAGGAGTCTAATTTAAGCAACCAAGTCCAGACACATAGGTTATCATCACGTATGAAAGTGTTTGAAAGAAAAGGTTAAGTCAAAGGTGAAAACTAAACTTTAGCTTTGACCTTTTAACTTTCATACATGATGATACACTATGTGTCTGGACTTGGTTGCTTCCATTAGACTCCTCAGAACAATAGGGGAATCTGAGAAAGACACACTAACACTGATACATTGTTTAATATGTCTTTAGAATAATCTCCACTCCCATTACAGTCTAATCCCCTTACAATTCAGTGACGCAGGACTTTTAGGGAACCGAGCTTAGGTCCATCTTCCATTTCATAAAATAGCAAACGCTTATCACGCACACCCCAGCAATGGCTTCTCCCACTATTAGTAGCAAACATGTAGCAAAGGTTCAAATGAACTGGGATTATTTTCTTTTTAGAGTAGACAGTTAATTAACATGTATTCATGCTTCACATGACATGGATACTCAATGTCACATAATCTAAATTAAAAAAAATGCCCTTCCATGCCCTGTATAAAATCCGTGCCACCAAGCTCCCTTATGTAAAGCATATCGCAAGGGCATTGTGGGTATTTCGTGTCATTAGAAACTATAAAAAGTCTGTTTTTGATTAGACAGATTTTGCACAAAGACAAAATCAGATTTGAAAGGCGATTCATCATTAGAAGATCTAGTGGCCACTTGGGTGCTTTGTTAATGCTCTTAAAACATGTCTCTGACCTTTCTACGTAACCAGTGAAGGATAAGGGCCACCTTGAACACTGGGCATTCTCTACATTATTAAAATGACCACCCCATATCCACGGGTAAAAAAAGGATTTAATGCTTTGTTGTTTTGTCTAGGGGAAACTTTAGGTCCTGTGAAAGCCGGTGCTTCCTTCCTCTTCTCTCCTGGCTGAGCACTCCTACGCCATCACGTACAATGCAGGACCAGCCAGTCAGCCGCAGTCACTATTGTACTAATTTAGTGTAAGGGTTAAGGTGCCCACACACCTTAACCCGCGATCGTACGATTATCGTAAGGTGTGTGGAAGCCGTGCGACCTCTACTACTGTAAGGTCGCACGACTTTTATCTTAGGAACATGTTCGAAAACCCGCCGAGCATCGTACGATGTTCGGCGGGTGTGTAGCATGTTCGTAAGATATAAGCCGGACGGGCTGGTGTGCGCAAGCGCACAGTGCCCGTTCGGCATTGCGGTCATCGGAAGCCCGCCCCTCAGCGAGGCGGGCTTGTGATCATCACAAGTATGATCTGCCTGTCCAAGATAGGCAGATCGTACGTTTTTTTTATTACCTTACAAAAGTCTTGCGATGGTTGTAAGGTGTGTGCCCAGCCTTAGGCTTTAGCCCATAGCAATCCAAAATCCTCTTTCACAAGGCAGAGTAATCTAATCTGCCAAAATATGATTGGCTGTGTGTAGTATCATGTTGTTGCTTTTTTTTTCCCCCAACACAAAGAGGGGGAAAACTGGAGCAGACAAAATCTGGAGCAGTTGTGCAGGCCAGCCAATCAGCTTCTCTGTTCAGTTCGTTTAGCTAAGATTTAAAAATGAAAGAGAGAAGCCGATTGGTTGTCATGCACAACTGCTCCAGATTTTGTCTGCTCCAGTTTTGACAAATTCCCCTCAAAGGGTTTTGTGTAAAGGTGGCTGTTGCATTTCAGTGAACACTTCTTTTTTATTGTTATTATTATTATTCAGGATTTATATAGGTTCTCATTTAAGTGTTTCAACAAAAGTCATTTATATATGACCTATCAAGTTTTACATTGTTACATATTTTTCTTGTTGTATTAAACATACAGATCTATAGTTTAGTCACATGAGGGAGCTTTACCTGGCTCAATAAAATGACCCTCTCTCTCTTAACTGTTGAGTAGGGATGTACATGGGCTTGTTGTGTGTTCACATGAGCCTGCGCAAAACTGTCAGTGACGCTTCCACCTCCTGGCCCAATCAGCTGTGGCCGGGGCATTTCCCCCCTCTTGGCAACGAGTAGCTGTGGGGCAGGGAATGCCCCAGCCGCAGTTAATTGGACTGGGAGGGGGATGTGTCATCAGAATCCTTTTTTCATAATTAACTCCCATCATGTGCCACATACCAGCTGATTGTTGTCTTGTTAGTAGAAGTTCCTGCTGTTGTGATGGTGAACCTGGTGTTTAGGTGGCACACATAGGTTAGGTGTGTTAATAGTGTGAGCTGGAGGGAAATTACATTACATGCAACTTGTTCATTTTGAGTTGGTACTTGTAAGAGCTCCCATGAGAGAAATGCAGTGCTGTAAATACTGTATAGAATAGTCAGTGGAGTATGGGGGGGGGAGTTATATTTCCTTTTTCCGTCTTGGTTTCTATATATTCTCTGTTTAGCCCTGGCACTGTGTCTTTGTCAAGTCACAAGTTCAAAGCCTGTCACCTCCTCTTTCATCATTCCGAATTGTAAAGTGTCAGTCAGTGATTTGCCAGTGTTCCTGAGAAGCTGATATCGCAGAGGGTTATTTTTGTCTCAGGGGACTTCTTGCTATTCGTCCGGAGTTCTTTATTTTAGCAGTAGATGCGGAAATGTTGTGCAGCTTTTCTTGCAACGCCCCAAGAGTATACTGAAAGTGTGTACATTTCCATCCTGTTGCTTAGTCTCGCTCACTTCCTGTGGGAGAATCTATGAAATTCCACGCTAATTTTGGAATGAAGATCTTCAGCAGCACAATGCTGTTCTAGAATATGTATTCTGTGACATTTTCCTTTGAAAATGTCTGTTTTTTTGTACCAATTTGCTTTAAGAAGAATGTATTCATGCTGGTAAAGGGCACAATGCCATTATGTATAATATATGTTATAGATGACGAAACCACATTATAAATCCATGGTTGGAACATTTTCAATGGTTTGCAATTATAGTGCTGGTAAGTTGGGTGTTTTCATACTTTGTGTATCTATCTTTTTATCTAAAATAACAAGACTTTTTAAATGCAGTTTTTATATTCTCTGATCCACTAGAGAGATGGTCTTAATTTTTCAATTTTGGGTGAATAACCAGAAGCACCAGAATTTTTTTTTCATCCCCAATGGCCAATTGTCGGGGGAGTAAAGGGAAGGTGCAAATTTGGTTAGGCGTTGGGGAAAAGGGGGTTTCCATTACAACAAACCTGTTGCTGTGCCCTGTATTGCCAGTGTTAGGTTCCTTTCACACTTGCACCTGTCAGTTCTGATCAGAAAGGAGTTCCCTGCTGATCAAAACAACACGGATCAGATCTCACCATTGTGACATTTCAATGTCCATCCAGTTTTTTCCTCCATCTCGCGATGGGAAAAAAAAATTATTACCCATGCTCATGTTAGGTTTGTGTTGAGTTAAATGTAAGTAGACATGTCTGTTTACCCCCAATCTGGACAGAGTTGGGGGTAATTAGATGTAAACAGGTGCACGTCCATTCAGATCTAGCTGCCCATAGGCTAACATTGGGCTTCTGATCAGGTCCGCCTGAAAAACTGACAGGAGGACCAGATTGGACCATCCGTCTGAAAGGGGCCTCACTGTGCATGTTAATGGTGAGATAAGTATTAAAGGTTTTATGATAGGAATAGGTCTTA